CAAGCGCTTGAAGTCGGCTGCCTTGTTGTTGGAACTGATCGCTAACAGGGCCCGGCAAGGATCGGCTAGGTGCTGAGACTGCAGCTTCACTACCTGTGAGTTTTGATTCTAAATGCTCTTTCTTCTCGGGTGCCCAAGGGTCCATGTGGGGATCTCCTTCAAAGAAAACATTTAGCTTGGGATGTGCCGTCTGCGCCCCTGGCTTGGTCGCCGGGGGTTGTCGTGGGCCCGCAATGATATCACCTGAGTTGTGCATGGTCTTTTGGGTGACCTTTTGAACCAGCAATGGTTGGGTATTGAAGCAAAGCAATGGCGGTGGTGGCTCATCGGCTGCAACCAGCCATGTCTTGGCTCCAATGGATCGGAGCGGGCGAATGTCCCATTGCACCTGAGCTGCCCATTTGGCCAAAATGTCTTTGTCTGTGCCCACAGGCAGAGGTTGAAGTCGGAATGTATGCTTGCGCTGTCTGACATCTGGTGCTTCTTGGTCAGGTTTGAGGCGTAACCAGGCTGTGGCAAAAGATCCTGCTTCAACCCGAAGTCCAAATGACTTGGTACTGCGCAGAAGTCCAGCGGCTCCATCAATCTGAGCAGAGAGGCTTTCGATGTGTTGTGACGTCCCCTGAATCCATATCACTTTCCAGGCAGAATCAATTTGTCCATCAGCCAATTTTGGAGTCAAATATATTCTATTGAAACCGGAAATCCGAAGCAATGCATTCAGGCGGGGACAACGTTGGAACTCTGCATGGAACTGGATCGACTCAGCGTGTTCCGGAGGCACTGGTTTGCCCTTAGCCCTATAGGCTCGGCCCCATGGCTTTGACATCAATTCCCCATAGCCCTCCAACATTAGCAAATCTCTGGTCGTTTTCACTGGGGCCGACTTGATACGCTCCCATGTAGGGGGGTCAAAATCCTCTTTCCACAAAGTCACTGCTAGGACTTGGACTTCCTTGGTAGTGATTTGGTCAGGAAGGACATTGGTCTGAATATGTCTTGATCCAAACTGGATGAGTTGGCCTGTAAGCAGGACTTGGCGCCCAAGATCATCAACTGCTGGTGCATTGGTGTGGAAATGATGAAATTTGGCGGGGACTGCAAAATCACCTGGCACATAAATGGCAAGTTCATCTGGAACAGTTGCGGTAGCAATGGTCATGATTGGAAGTGCCTGTTCGGCTGTCAAAAGAACAACCCCTGTGCTCTGCCATGAAAATTGACTCAAAATTGGCGTAGGAGTTTTGTCAGCATTGACGAAAAAACCTTCAGTCAGCTGATACTTTGCTGGGTCGATCTTGGCTGTCGCTGCATGGGTTCGCTGTGATCGAAGCTTCTGGTACTTACCTGAAACCAGATGCATCCTAGGGCCATGCTTCGGCAGGGCAATGCTTGCCGACTCGCACAATCGTCGAAAGCTTTGTTCCTTTTCAGGCTGTGATTCTTCATGGATCATATGATGAAGTCTGGCAAGGCCTACCTTTTCAATCAACTTGGAAGTGGAATCTGTTACTTGAGGCAAATCCAAACCATACTGAAGAAATCGGTTGGCAACTTCAGATTGCACCAATTTGTGAAAGTCCATCTTGGAAGTGGGATGCTTGGTGGTCGGTCCCCCCTCCGAAATTGGCATGCCGATATGCAAAACAGGGACTGTTGATGTGCCAGTGAGTCGGCTGTGGATGTCTCGGATGGTGCAAATGTCCCCACAGCGTTTTCCGGATGCATGAAGGCTCGGATTGCCTCTTCTGGGATGCAACTGTCGGATGTGCTGAAGGGCCAGCAAAAAGGTCTCACAAGCTAAATCAAAGCTCAGGGACACCTGACAGAGCGTACGACCAAACAGTTTGATCTTGACTGGAAGACCCTCTGCAGTGTGCATGGACATGAAAAGAGTGCGAACAGCATTCCAAAACAGTGCATCACGAAAAATCGCAATTGGCATGGCTGCTTCCGGAAGTGCCGGTCGAAAAAACACCCTCCAGGTACGATCATCAATGGACTGGTAATTCATTTGCCTTCCTACTTGCAACATCCATCGGCGGTGGTCTTCCGTGCCCCAAAACTGAAGGAATGCTTCACGGGCTTGCTGGGATCCTTCGCAATGGAGAATCAGGATATCAGTTTTCGGAGGACAAACCACTTCAAAGGTTACATCGTGCAATTGCCTCAGAACTGTCTGTGCAAGTGCTGGCACCTGAAAGGGTGCAACCTGATCATGGATCTCTGTGTCCCTCGTGAAAAGAGTGGATTCCTGCAAATCTCCAAACAATTCATATTGGGCTGATTGAAGGTCTGGAAAGGTCTGCTTCACCATGCGCCATGTCTTTCCATGAGCAACTTCATACATGCTCAAATCAGTGCTGGATCGGTGCAAGATGATTGTGTTTGCATCAGGTCGTGCAAGGGCTGTTTGTGTCAGCATCTCCTGGATCTCTGGAGCAAGAGGCATGAGCATGACATGTGATTCGGAGAACAATTGCATAATTGAACACTCCAAGTCTTGATGGGAAATCGGGAAATCAGGACCAATCTGGTAGTTCCACAATCGCAGCAAAGTGAGCAAGGTGACATCTTTGTGGATACGCAATTTCCCATATTCGCCTGGAATCAAAATTGGGGCAACCTGCAAAAATTCTCCCGTTTGATCTGGTGAATCCACTTGCGTGTTTGGGATGCGGTTTCTGGCAGCAATCTCAAGCTCTTGGGTGAGCTCTGGGCTGTAAAATTGCATCGGCATCAAACCTTCCTGGTGAGAGAAAAATGCTCCAGATGGCCAAGTGTTCTTTCCTTGGTGGGGCCAATTGAGTTCCTGGAGAAAAAAATGCAATCGACGTTGCAACTCCTGAGTAGATAATGAAGCGCTTACATACCATGCAAAAGAATCGCTAGAAATCATGCTTGTGCTGGCCTTCAAGCGGTACGCAATCAAACGCAGGACAAGACTTGTGGCATCATCGGAAACTAGGTTCGGATGCAATGATAACAATGCATGTGCAAGGGCAAACACTGCATGCGGAACTGCTATGGCATTTCCAATCGTTTCCCATCCAATTGTGTTTGGTTTCAACAGGATCATGTCATCAACTTGGCAATGACCAAACATGATTTCAATTGGAGCAAAAAAAGCGGAAGGCAATTCCTTGACGCACAAAATGTCCAAAAAGGCCCATGGTCGTCAATCGATGTGGTCGCAATGAATGTTGTTGGCCGTAAAGATGAAGAAATGTGGGGAGCTTACCCTCCAACGAAGGAATTCTATATTTCAAGATATCCTTATAGGTCCAAACTTTGGTGGCTCCAGGCATGAAATTGGCATCAAAGTAGAAGGCTGCCTGCTGGACGGTTGGTTCGAATTCACGGCACTGCTGATGGGACAGGTTGAGAATCATGTCATACTGCCGTGTTGTGGTGGAATTGGTGGGCCATTTCTGCGGCTGCATATGAGGCTGTGTGCATGCATGATGTGCAAAAACTCCTAACCACCTAGTGCGTCTGCAAGGTGTGAGATTTCCCAGGTCAAAAACTCCTTGCAAAACCGGTTCATATCCCGCCCATTGCATCAAACGCATGGCAATTGGGAAGTGCATGTGGCTTTCAAACCCTGCTACCTGTTCAATCATGGCATATTTCGGCTGGTGAATCCTACAGTGCGCAATGGCATGGGCCAACGTCAATCCATCTTGGTTGGAGAAGCCTTCTTGGCTTCCAGCAAAACTCCAGGACTTGCATGGAGCAGAAATACACCACAATGAAGCATAAACATGTTGAAGAAGCTTTTGCCAATGCATTTCTTGGATGTTCCCGCAAACCATGACATCTTCTTGCATGTGGAGCAAAAACTGTTCAGGCATACCTGCTGGGTCTCCTACCATGTTACTTGCATGTGACAAGGCGTATTGGGTGGCATACGACAATTCGGCTTCCACACTGAGGACATGATACTTCGGAAATCCCGCTCGGTGCAAGAAAGCTAAACCAAAGGCCCATCCTCCAAAGCCTCCAGCAAACTGTTCAACACACCAAGGGGTGGTGCTTTGGCTAGTCCTATCTTCTGTGTCCCACGGCAGAAGGAGCGATTGATGATCCAAGGTCACGGTCACTGGATCAATGTCTGTCACCAAGGCCTGATGAATGTACATTTCATCAAAGAAAACTGTGGGTCGTCTGTCCTTATCCATATGCAGATGGATAAAATCTTCATAGACAGCATATTCTGGTGAAGCTTCCTTGTGAAATGATACAAACTGGGCATCCAAAACACTTGGAGACGACATGCGTACCTTGAAATTGTCGTCAAACTGCTGAAAATGAGAGGTCACCAAATTGACCCTTTGGGATTTCATCCATGGGGCTGCTGAAATGTCATAGGTCTTGATGAGGTTGATCAATGGGACAGGGAGTGGAACATAGTTGTATGACATGGCACAATTCGCAGGCGCAGCCTAACAGGGTAGCTACGGGAAAGCTTGTGCCGATACCCTCCCTGAATTAAGGCCATTTGGGGATGATTTCCCTTACTAACCATGATTTTCAGTGAGGTCGTAGTGAGGTCGTTATAATTTACCCAGATTCATGTTAATCATCAATTAGAATTTTGGTTGAATCTCCACTTCCCGGATCACGATCAGTGATGCTTCGTATCCTATGTTTGTGGCTTGATATTTGCAGGCTCTGCTCTCGCATGCTATCGCCAATTTGTTGGGCTGATTCAATCCTCAACACCCACAATTCTTCCCACAAGCTGGTATTGTTTCTATGCTCACATCAGACATACCTCTCCCATACCAATGAGATAGAATATATACTGTGGATGGTTGCGAAATCCTGCACCGGTGATGGTTTATTCCTTATAATCCCATTACAATCCCAGTGTTTCAATGTGTTTCATAGTTTCCAATACCAACTGCTACAGGATTTTCTTCCACTATGCCTTCTGTTAGATTCTCATTGATCAACGAGACTCCTCCTGTCGCGCGTTCCCATGTTGTTCAAGACACAACTTCAATGGCCACCGTCCTTCGAACCCGCTCATCTGAACCGGTCACCGCAGCGAAGTAATAGCCTCGAACCGCATGGCAATACGTCGGATACATTTACGAACTCACAAAAAATGTCCATTTATAGAGGTAAATGTACTCGATGTTGATGATACGACTAATAGATGGTCATATTAAATAGTATCAGTCCAGTACCTTGTTCATCTGTAAAAAAGTCACCAAAACTGTGTTTTCTAAGGTGAAACCCAAACCGATTGGAAAGTCCCTACAATAGCAGTTGGCTACTTGTCACTTCATGCATCATGGCAATCCTCACTATGTAAAGGGTAAGAAAGGCCCCCAAGATCATCAATCAACCAGCACTTATCAATCTATCACCATCTATCCCCAAATTCATAATAGCAATCCCTGTAAATGATGATGACATGATTTAATATTATTTAATATGATTCAGAATTAGTACGATTTCATCACATAACCATCATATCAGTGAAAAAATCCCTATCATGCTTGAAATCCACCCCCAAACAGCTGGAAATTTCTGATTCAACCCATGAAAATGACCACCCACCTGGAGAGTAGTTTCGTTTCGCCCTTTCGTTTCCCATCGATTCCCATCGCGCCTATGAGACCCGCGGCCACGTTGAAGGACAAGCTTGCGATGTGCAAAGTGACGCCGGCGCTGAGAATGGCGGAGGCGTTTCCTGCGCTGGGTGGGAGCCAATGGGTAGATATAACCCACTGGAACTATAATATAATTATAATACATATATATTTAATATGGGATATATCATCTTGATAAATATATCATATTTTTTTTTGTTTATTTCGTGGAACCATTCCTGGAACCATTCCTTCCCCCTAAGCTGATATATATTTTATCCCTTCCCCCTAATGGATATTCATTGGATATTGATGTTAATAGTCATCACCTATATCAAATCATCAACTTTTATCAACTATAGTGGGATATTAATAATAATGATGGATATTGAGTTTGTTAATCCCTTCCCTTCTCCAAAAATAAGATGGGAATATCATGGGATACGACTTTATTGAGCCCAGCATGGTGGATGTAGGGGAAAATATTCCACCATGATTTGGAACGAGAAAATGGTGGTATTTTTTAACATTCAGGGATTCAGGGGAAAAAAAAAAACATGGTGCCATGATCAAAACGGGACCGACAATACTGGGGATATGATGAATGGGCCTCCGGTCAAAATCATCCCCAGTCATCATCGGCTCCGACTCGGCGATTGACGGCTATAAAAAATACATAAAAATACCGTCCCTTTCCATCCCTGGTTTATTGAGTTTACTAAGTGTGAAGAATATTTATATATATAGGAATATTTAGTACATTATAAGATATTGATTACCATCCCTAGTTTATATAAACATATGCTGACATTTTTTTTGTTAAACATGCTACTCCTCCAAGTTGATCAACTAGCTGATCCCGGAAGGTGAATTTGTAGCCAGAATTTTACAGCCCACGACTCTTGAAAAAGCAACAACAGTGGAATACTTGCAGAACAAGGATTAGAACCAACAAAATTGGGTGGTTTGTGGATTCATGAGGACATAACCAAGACAATGGAGATTTGATCGTGAACGAGCCAACGTGAACGGAATATTTAGCTGTCAAACAACAGGAGGACGTCAACCCAAAAAATAGGATACAATGGTTATTGTTTCACCAGCACACCAACGGATAGATTTTTGAGATTTCACCAAAATATCTTGGAAAGGACAGGATAAAACCAATGACGGTGGGTGCAAATGGAGCACAACCAAGCATGATTGGGACTTAATAGATTCTCGAAATCGAAACTGTTTTAACTCATTGTTGTCGCTGGCAATGCCTCATTCAGCGTTGGAATACTGCAAACTCTGAAATAAGAAACCAGCTTAAATCATGCGGTCTTAAACGAGCAAAGGTTGAACACACCAAAATCATGTACCCAGGGATTCATGAACAGACTATATGTCCCTTTGAGCAGAGTTAAGTTAACCAGCACAACGGCAGCAAAATTGCTGCCGGCAATCTGGCTCCCGTCCATCCACCCACCGAATGTCCCAAAGATGCTGGGTTGATTAGGGTCCGACCATCAGAGGTTTTGCAAGGTATAATCCTATTGCTGGTTAAATCACAAAAACATCCCAGTGGAATATAGTGGAATACCATCTAATATCTAGTAGTTATCCTATGATTGCTGGTTAAATCATGTTAAATCACTTAATTCCCGATGGAATATAGTGGAATACCATCGAATACCATCTAGTGACCGTGGCAACGGACAACAAATGGAGAGGCACCTGCCAGCACTCCGCCCAGCAATGGCAGGGCAGTGCCCAGTCCCAGATTTGGGATAAAGGGTTCCTGAGCACGACGCCAATGGTGAGCCCCTGGAAACCTGGTGAAAACGGCACAAAATCACCAAAATAGTGGTTCATATGATGTCATATGTATATACATGCCATTCCATTCCAGTCTATTCCATTCCATTCATAACATCACAAAATATAACATAGCATAACATAGCATAACATGACATAACATTACATTACATTGCATTGCATTACACACATGCACACGTACGTACGTACGTACGTACCTACTTACCTACATACCTCCATAAATTATATACATACATATAGATCATATAGCATGTGTACATATGCATCTCACTGTTCTGGTTGCGTTGGAAGTGGGATTTTGTCTATGAGATGAGACCTCATTTGAACCCCCAAGTGGGTGATTTTTGTTCTCTACATTTGAAACACGTTTCCGGATGACGTTGAAGTTGAACAAAAAGAGAACAAACCAAGTCTCCAAATTTGGAGATGTTGATCAAAAGAAATGCACACAATGGATACATACATATACATATACAATATATATTTATAATATCTATATCTATATATATATATATATGTATGTGGATGTGTCGGATGTGTATAGCTATATAAAACTATATATTATTCTACTGTACATGATCAAATCTGGAGATGTTGATCGCCAAGTTTCAACTTTGGAGATGGTCAATGGTAAAGCTGCCCTAGTGACAACCCCGCCAATCAAAGGGAGGAGGACCATCTCCACGGCAGACCTGCGTGCAGTTGAGCTTTTTTATGGAAACTTTAACAGGTATTGTAATAGTGGTATTGTATATATCATAATATTATACCAATATTCATAGTCACATTATATATTTATCACACCAATATGCAACAGAAATTGTAATGACCAACACTTATATAGAAATAGAACGGAAAGAAAAGAAAAGTACAACCTAACTGGGTATGATATGTATATGTATATATTTATCGAAGGAAGTTTAGAAGTCAAACTTATATATATATATACTATCTCATGGCAGGTCACCGCAGCATGCCAATGGAGTCCACGGGCACAAAGGCGCCCACAAAGACTTCAGCGACCAGTGGAGTGCACACGACCTTTTTTAACGGAGCCAGTTGGTAAATGGTCAATGGATGGTGATTTTCATGGTGATTTTATGGGGAATAGGATGTTTATTTTATGTTGATGGTGATTTTATGGTGATTAATGTTGATTAATGGTGATTTTATTCCTATGGTGATTTGATGTTTACCCTCTGGTAATTTAACATAGCTATTGAAAATGGCAATTTTTCATGGTAAAATCCACTACAAATGGCCATTTTCAATAGCTATGTTAAATTACCAGAGGGTATTCCTATGGTGATTTGATGTTTATTTTCATGCTGATTTTATGGCGATTTATGATGATTCTAATGGCGATTTATGGGGAATGAAGAGAGAAATTCTGGTGATTTTACGGGGAATAGGATGTGATCAACAGTAATCCAACATGGATGGAAAATGTCCCAACTAAATGGAGGTTTTTTTCAATGGGAAAACAATTTATAAATGGAGGTTTATAGATTTGATAGCTGGTCAAATCGAAGATAGCTGGGGTGACAAATCTTAGCAAGCCATGTAACTGATTACCAGAGGATATATGATGAAAGGATCTTATACCCCACCACCAAACCAAACAGCTCAAGCCACCATACCGTGGGGTTTGGAAGACTGGAAGACTTGTTTCCACCAGAAACTGACTATTTTCAGGGTCTTTATTTTACGGGAGGGTGTGTCATCACAAGCTCAAATAAAGAAGGCTATTTTGGAATAGTAACCCTCAATGGTACCACTGTGTAAACTAGGTAAAATATGGTAATATCATATGTTTTACTAAGATTCTATTCTTGAAAAATAACGGTGAAACCTAAATCCGTCGCTGCACCGCAGACATTTAGTGCTCTCCAAGTTGCTGCGCCAATGGTGGTGGTGATGGTCATCAAGACCGATAAAGCCACATCACCACCCGCGAGCAACGCGAAGAGATTTGAAGCTGATCCTGGCGGACAAATCACAACTTTTTTGGGATGGTTTACTAAGTTCTGGTTGGTGGTATACCTACCCCTCTGCAAAATATTCGTCAATGGGAAGGATGACAACCCATATATGAAATGGAAAATAAAAGCCATGTTCCAAACCACCAACCAGACTACGTTTGGTACTGAATTTCACCAGCCAGTTGTGGGAGCACACCATCACACCACCCCAGCCCAGAACTTTGTGAACAGTTTGCCTCCATTGACGCCGCCCATCAGAACCATGCCCACCAGAAAGTCCTCACAGCAGTGCATTAACCTGTTGGTTAACTCACCATTTCTCCTGGTCATGTTACCCTCTGGTGAGATGGTAAACTAACATAACTATGGAAAATCACCATCTTTAATAGGTAAATCAACTATAAATGGGTCATGATCAATAGCTATGTTATTTATGTTAATTACCAGAGGGTAAAACTCTTCAATATTCGTAACTCTGCCTATGTTGGTTAAGCGGTATTCTTTTCGCGGATTTCTCAGCAAGTTCTCTCAGCAAGATGGGCTTCCGAATCGTCAAACCCCCTCGCCTGTCGCAAATCCAATGCATGTCCAATGGACAGTGCTACGCCTGGTAAGACCTGCAGCTTGAAAAAAAAGTGCAGCAGCCTGGTATCGCCATCCCTACCCTTTGCTGAGGATGAGGGATATCATTGGATTCAATATTAGCGTTGACGGAAAATAAAATCAACAGTTGGATATAAAGGTTAATATCCATATATTGGATATAAATGGATATAAAGGTCAATATCCATATATTGGATATAAAGGTTAATATCCATCAACAGTGATTAATGGGATGAATATGGATGAATATGTCCTGTTTGGATGAGAACCGGACCAAGGGTCTTGAGCAATGCTCAAGTTTCATTTTTCACCCAACACTAAGGATTTTTAGGAATCCAGCCATATAGGGATAGAGATGATAGAATCATTGGGGATTTTAACTCATAAATCAACATGATATCAAGACACTTGAGACAATCCAATAAGCAGCGACGGTTTGAAAGGGTCTGAGATAAGTACAAAAGGAGCTTCCAGCTTGCAACACCTATCTAACAAATGCCGAGTTACCGCAAAGCATGCCTGAGTTCAGTCTCAAGGGCTATGACAACTTTGGCACTTCACCATGACTTTTTCTCAATCAACAGGGATCTAGCCAGGGAATCCTGGCTCTCCCTTTCGAGAGAAACAGACACTGACCGCAACAAAAAGCACTGAGACATCTCAGAGGTTGATGGTCCGATCCCATCCCCACAACATTTTCAAGTCCTATACCGTGCAGCTTGACCAACTTTGCATCTTCGCCGTGACTTCAAGAAGTAAAACATCCTATGAGTCCACAGTTTTGCTGGATTTTCGGGTTTTCCTCATTGCACATCACCAGCATCACCAGCCAAAAGCCTGGGTTTCACTCCCCGAGTCACAATGAAATTCACCAGCAGCGGCCGAAGCTTCCCCGTGCACGCTTTAAAGTCCTGCCCCGCCCGCGCGGACCAACCCCCCGGTTGGAAGCCCATTCCGATCATCGCTGCACCACTAGGGCCCTCATGGTTTTTGGTTGGTAAATGAAAGCCCAGTAACCATGTCAATATATGTCACTATATATAGATAGATAGATAGATAGATAGATATATATATATATATCATGATATGTGTATGATAAAACCACTAACCCAACAGTATCCCAACACTTTGACTGGAGTTCAGTAGAGTTCCCAACTTTGCCTGAGGTTCAGAGGTGGTGCCCATCATGAAGACCAACGTCACCAGGAGACTTCGGCTGGTCTTGGGGCCCACCCACCTGGCCACAGTTGGAAAGCTGCTGGGGATATAACATGATGTAAATGGATACTGCCAAATTGTTGGGAATGTATGTGTATATGTATATATATATATATACAAATCAACTATAATCAACTGATGATGCAGGTTTGTGATTTCACTACATTGCATCTCAAAATTATGAAAGTCAGTCTGCGTCATAATGCCAGGCAAGTCGTTTCACGGGGACCTTTTGGCCGTCTCGACCATTTTGGTACCATGGTTCATCCCATTTTGTTCCATCAGAATTTACCCTCTTGTAATTTAACATAGCTATTGAAAATGGCCATTAATAGTGGATTTTCCCATTAATAGCATGGTGATTTTCCATAGTTATGTTATATAGTTTACCAGATGGTATCCAATATCATCCAATTACAGTAACATGATCTTTCCATCGGCTATACCTTAGCATGATCTTTCTATTGGCTCTATCGTCATCATTAGTCATCATCATAATTCATCCAATTCACATGATCTTTCCAACCAATATCATCCACATGATCTTTACAGGATGGGCCCCCCAGTTATAAGTTGGTTGATATCTACCATAACAAAACCTTGGGGTACTTTGACGAGTTAACTCGTTCGTATAGTCTATATAACCCTTATCGTTTATGGTATACTACTCCATAACAAAACCCCCTTTAACAAACCATAAAACAGTTCGTTAGTTAAGCCACAAACCATATATAACATTATATAACCATAGTTAGTTAAACCATAGTTAACCATAGTTTAACCATAGTCAACCTTTTTTTGTGGTTAGTTAAACATAGTCAACCATCTGGGTAAATTATAATAATTCACTAACCTGAATAGTTGGGCCATAAAAGGGGATGATTCCCCCTATAAAAACCATGATTCCAGGGTTCGGGAGACCAGTGAGGTCGTTATGATTTACCCAGAACCATAGTTAATTAACCATAGTTAAACCATAGTCAACCTTTTTTTTTGGTTAGTTAAAACATAGTCAACCATAGTTAACCATACCCAGAGGATCCATGGTGCTGGAATATTTACCAATCCATTGACCCCTAAAGTAATTTAAAATAATCCCAATGTAGGTAAATATTCCATATCCCATTAACAAACCATAAACCAGTTCGTTAGTTAAGCCACAAACCATATATAACATTATATAACCATAGTTAGTTAAACCATAGTTAACCATAGTTTAACCATAGTCAACCTTTTTTTTGGTTAGTTAAACATAGTCAACCATCTGGGTAAATTATAATAATTCACTAACCTGAATAGTTGGGCCATACAAGGGGATGATTCCTCCTATAAAAACCATGATTCCAGGGTTCGGGAGACCAGTGAGGTCGTTATGATTTACCCAGAACCATAGTTAATTAACCATAGTTAAACCATAGTCAACCTTTTTTTTTGGTTAGTTAAAACATAGTCAACCATAGTTAACCATACCCAGAGGATCCATGGTGCTGGAATATTTACCAATCCATTGACCCCTAAAGTAATTTAAAATAATCCAATGTAGGTAAATATTCCATATCCCAACAAACCATAAACCAGTTCGTTAGTTAAGCCACAAACCATATATCACATTATATAACCATAGTTAGTTAAACCATAGTTAACCATATTTTAACCAAGTCAACCTTTTTTTTGGTTAGTTAAACATAGTCAACCATCTGGGTAAATTATAATCATTCACTAACCTAATAGTTGGGTCCATAAAAGGGGATGATTCCCCTATAAAAACCATGATTCCAGGGTTCGGGAGACCAGTGAGGTCGTTATGATTTACCCAGAACCATAGTTAATTAACCATAGTTAAACCATAGTCAACCTTTTTTTTTGGTTAGTTAAAACATAGTCAACCATAGTTAACCATACCCAGAGGATCCATGGTGCTGGAATATTTACCAATCCATTGACCCCTAAAGTAATTTAAAATAATCCCAATGTAGGTAAAGATTCCATATCCCATTAACAAACCATAAACCAGTTCGTTAGTTAAGCCACAAACCATATATAACATTATATAACCATAGTTAGTTAAACCATAGTTAACCATAGTTTAACCAGAGTCAACCTTTTTTTTGGTTAGTTAAACATAGTCAACCATCTGGGTAAATTATAATAATTCACTAACCTAAATAGTTGGGCCATAAAAGGGGATGATTCCCCCTATAAAAACCATGATTCCAGGGTTCGGGAGACCAGTGAGGTCGTTATGATTTACCCAGAACCATAGTTAATTAACCATAGTTAAACCATAGTCAACCTTTTTTTTTTGGTTAGTTAAAACATAGTCAACCATAGTTAACCATACCCAGAGGATCCATGGTGCTGGAATATTTACCAATCCATTGACCCCTAAAGTAGTTTAAAATAATCCCAATGTAGGTAAATATTCCATATCCCATTAACAAACCATAAACCAGTTCGTTAGTTAAGCCACAAACCATATATAACATTATATAACCATAGTTAGTTAAACCATAGTTAACCATAGTTTAACCATAGTCAACCTTTTTTTTTGGTTAGTTAAACATAGTCAACCATCTGGGTAAATTATAATAATTCACTAACCTAAATAGTTGGGCCATAAAAGGGGATGATTCCCCCTATAAAAACCATGATTCCAGGGTTCGGGAGACCAGTGAGGTCGTTATGATTTACCCAGAACCATAGTTAATTAACCATAGTTAAACCATAGTCAACTTTTTTTTTGGTTAGTTAAAACATAGTCAACCATAGTTAACCATACCCAGAGGATCCATGGTGCTGGAATATTTACCAATCCATTGACCCCTAAAGTAATTTAAAATAATCCCAATGTAGGTAAATATTCCATATCCCATTAACAAACCATAAACCAGTTCGTTAGTTAAGCCACAAACCATATATAACATTATATAACCATAGTTAGTTAAACCATAGTTAACCATAGTTTAACCATAGTCAACCTTTTTTTTTGGTTAGTTAAACATAGTCAACCATCTGGGTAAATTATAATAATTCACTAACCTGAATAGTTGGGCCATAAAAGGGGATGATTCCTCCTATAAAAACCATGATTCCAGGGTTCGGGAGACCAGTGAGGTCGTTATGATTTACCCAGAACCATAGTTAATTAACCATAGTTAAACCATAGTCAACTTTTTTTTTGGTTAGTTAAAACATAGTCAACCATAGTTAACCATACCCAGAGGATCCATGGTGCTGGAATATTTACCAATCCATTGACCCCTAAAGTAATCTAAAATAATCCCAATGTAGGTAAATATTCCATATCCCATTAACAAACCATAAACCAGTTCGTTAGTTAAGCCACAAACCATATATATATATAACATTATATAACCATAGTTAGTTAAACCATAGTTAACCATAGTTTAACCATAGTTACAAACCACTTCCTTCGTGGCCATTGCTGAGCATCCCGGCGCGAAAAGCCATGGCTGCATCAGGGCGACCACGGCCAACAAGGCCATCCTGGGCGAAGATGGGCCGGCAACGCAACGAAAAAGTGACGAGATGTTGATGAAACTATATGAAAATATATGAAAATATATGAAAATCTATGAAAATACACCATAGTTATGATAAATGGTGATATGACATGATATGAAACTATACTATCATAATACCATAGTTATGAAAATATACCATCATAATTATGAAACCAACATATATTTGAAAATATGCCATTATAATGATGATAAATGATGATATACAATAAATATGGTACCATCATGATTATGATTATGAAACCATATGGAACCATCGCATTTTACCCTCAACGGAGAACCCCGAGTTCCGCGCCATACCGAGAAGAAGTCAGCGAAGGTCGAAGGACCAGTCAGAGCATTCGGAGCCGCAGGCGCCGCAGGCGGCTTGTCTTGAGACATGGCGGTCGCGGGACTAGACAAACTGTTTAACTATATGATATGTGATATTTCTCTGATAATAGAATAGTATATCACATATAAGTATTTATCTGTCTTTACATGAATGATATATAAATACAATTTGTATATGTTTATATATATATACATATATAATATTAGATCATATATACAGTAATTATATGTATTCTTTGCATAGATTAGATTTACATGATGAATTTCACGGCAAGGGCTTGATGATAACTCTGCCATGTTGATAGTTGGGCGGGGTTTGATGTCTTCTTCAAAACTTGAGGATCTGAAAAACAAGACAGGCGCGCAAGACTTGCCCAAAGATTTCAATGCGCTGACATGGTTCAAGCATCATGTGTTGCTTCTCAATCTTCTTGAGCCACAAGCATGAGCGAGCAAAATGATCGACTTCAAGTATGCAACCTGCAGTGGATTTTGGTGGTTTGAACCCGTCCCCAAGAATCCTAAGAAATCAACAAAAAGCAACATTCCAAGGTTGAAAGAATCCTTAAAGAAAACACATGAAAACACGACAAATCAGAAACAACGAAGTCACTTTGGGGATCAAACACATTTGTGCTGCACCTAGCAGCTCCAGCACGCAGCACGCGCAACGCTGAGTGCTAGCACGCAGGTTCGTCACGCAGTGGGTTTTTAGCATTGTGATATAATATGTAAATGCATTTAACTAGATCCGAAAAAAACATCCATACAAATTCTAGACCTTAAAGGGATAGTAAATCGCAAGTTCGAAATGCATTGGGTTTTATCATCCTATTCATACCTCGGTGCATTTACTTTTCTGTTAAAAAAACATCCGGTGACGTGCGAATATCTGCCTGACGTCCGGATGCATTTTGCGCTTCCCAAAAAAAACATCTGGGGTTTCCCCGTTTCCTCCCAAAGGGTAAATTCTTTCAGGGTGTTGAAAAAATCAACGCCACTTGGAGGTACTCGTGTGGCTCTCATGAATGTGATGAGTATCTCATGATATCTCATGCTTATTGTCACTCTAATGCATTTTTCCTATTCCAATAATATATAATAACATCATCCACTATCTAAATCAAGATAAACATATCTACTAGGATGCACACCGGGAAAAATACATTGGAGTGAGTGCTGAGCACGCGAGTGCTGGCACACGAGTGCTGAGTGCCACCACGCGAGTGACGAAACAGCGGACTGGTGCTGCATGGTCAGAAAATCATCCCCAACACCGATGTCCATCAGCAGGGAAATTTTGAGGGACATCCTTTTTCTTCAGGACCCTAAAAATAGTTGGTACTAGTTAGTGACTGTCTGAAAATAGAGACCTAAAAAAATCCTCTGGTTCGGACATGTCCGATCAAGAAATGGCTTTAATTAATTGCGGTTATACTTCATATAATACTTCATCTTCAGACACCCAAATCATATCTTGTTGCGCAAACATCACATCCCTATTGAAAAATTCATGAATTTTATCGCCATGGATTTCACATGTCCATCCATCCATCCATCCATCCAGCAGCACCTTCCAGGGCATCCGCAGGCAGCGCCAGCAGTTCGGTGAGGTCCATAGCAACATCCTCCAGGTCCTCCAGGTCCTCCAGATCCTAACAGTTTGGGAACTTGAAAATGGCCCATGGCCCAGTCGAAATCGTGGATTTATCCAGCTATAGAAATGGTGGATATTGATATTTCCATAGCAAAGTGTTAGTTTACCAGAGGGTAAAGGATGGTTGAAACATGTTGAAACCCTGTCTGGTTGGTGGTTAGAAAACCATCTTGAAAAATATGATGGAGTGAGTTCGTCAATGGGAAGGAAAAAAAAACATATATGATGGACAAATAAAAAATGTTCCAAACCACCAACCAGCTGTAAATAATGGGATAAACCATGATAAACCACCGTTTTCAACTGGGGATTTCGCTTCCATCCACCGTATCTGGGAAAATGATCAGAAAATATCTATCCTTCGGGTGTCATTGCGGTGGCTTGCTGGACAATTCTCCATGAAAACTTCGGGGATTGAAAAATTGCCACGTTTGATATTACCGGAGGGCATAGAACTATTTCATAGCACATGGTTGAATTGGTACTATTGCCCAGACACAATTGATGATCAGAATTCACCGACTTCATTCACCCACTTTTCAACAAGGCCATTTCGCGATTGCGTTCCGCTGGATAGAAGAGGATAAGTTGATGAAGTGCTGATGGAAGAGCATCAGGTGAGGTCCCATAGGTGCCCAAAGGATAAACCTTTGCAGACACATATCAGTTGTCTAAATCAAACACTCAACCTCTCTGACGGGAACTAGAAACCAAACCACAATATTTGAGGAAAAAATGGGAATGGTATACAACAACAAATAATTCAAATTATATAGATATACATAGATATACCACATGATGCCCTGTTGCCAGCTTGCCTCAATGTCTGCTATCCTTAAAGCAGCTCTCATGGTGCGCAAACGCACCGCCATGGGATCGCTTTCGCGATCTTTGGCACAGAGTCCCCGCAGCACCTAGGATCCAAGGATTCCCATCAAACTTTGGGATGGTATTTTTTGACCATCCCCCATGGGTCATTAAATGTCACCACTGAACATCACCCAACCATGAGCTATCTCATCTATAATTGCCATTCAAAGGTGATGTCCAATAGCCCCAAAATGGGACATTTACCAATCCCTGTCCCCATATCGTTCGTTTTTTTTTGGGGGGGGGTTTACACAGGTTTACCACATGCATAAAATACCAGAAACTACCAGAATCGCCGCGGCTCAGTCTCGGGAAAAATCCGCTTGTGACTCTATGACTCATCCATGACTCATATCGATATCAAAAGCATATCTTCTCATATCTGGGTAAATTATAGTATTTCACTAACCTGAATAGTTGGGCCATTTGGGGATGATTTCCCTTACTAACCATGATTTCCAGTGAGGGAGACCAGTGAGGCCGTTATAATTTACCCAGATCATATGCACATGTGTACAGAAATTATCTACATGATGGATAGGTAGGATCATAATTGAAACTATCCATGATATCTATTCATATCCCATATCTTGGTGTTGTCTTTCCGCATCTTTCCGCGCAAAATTGGGGTGCCAAATGATCCACCATTGGAAGGCCTACTCATTCGTCTTTGATCATCCGATATTGGATGGTCCAACCATCCTAATTGTGTTGGTAGAAATGTGGCAAATCCCATCTACTCACGATTTTCAGTGGCCGACCATCTGTGAGTCATCTTAATTTCCCATCACCCCGAACTATCAGATAGTTATATCGGAGAATAAACCACACAATTTTATATTATCCCAACAGTTATTGGTACCTCATTATCCATCACTGACTTCAGGATGAACAAGTATTTTTTTTATTTACCACTTTTGCAATAGAGGTTTTCACGTCTTCATCCTTTTGGTGGGGTGACAACGGTGACAACCAATTCTTGTTCCCCACCGGTTCGCCCGGTTCGTCCAGTGGCTGCGCGAGCCGTCAGAATGGAGCGCTGATCGGGCGAGGTGATCACTGTGGTAGGAAGCTCCTGCGGCGATGTAACGTGGTGTTTTTTGGACAGTCCTAAATACGGAAGAAAATCATCATGACAGTATAGTCAGGCAACTAGGACATTCATTGATTCGGACATGAGGAGTGGTATATACTTCAAAGCAACAAGAACAACGACGGAATATGGCAGTGTGTCAAAACCTTGTACCCCTTTTTTGTTCACATCAAAATAGCTGGGATTTATGGATGTTCATCCCCCTAAAAATGGTATTTTCATAGGTATTGATCCATACCCATATACACTTCAATCTTCACCTCGTCGTCGACAGCTCTGTCCTCATTCTCGTCCTCATTTTTTGGGCTATGCCTCGGCCCAGAACTCTGACCCTAAAAAATGCTGTTTCCCTCCACTTCACAATGGGATAGAATAGGGATGAATAGAGATAGAAGATGAACATTTGGCTATAGGAAATGCTAGGAATATATTTTGGGGGATATGTATATAATATATTATAATATTATATAATCAGTATACAATCAACACTGGTTGGTGGTTTCAATCCCTCTGAAAAATATTAGTCAGATTGGATCATCATCCCAGCTATTGGGGAAAATAAAAAATGTTCCAAACCACCAACCAGAACAAAATGGGCTGACTCTTTTTTCCAAAACTGCGGTCGGATTATCACCTTTCCCCATGAAAACTGCCATGTTGGGCTCCCGCAAGGAGACCAACGACCCGCGCATCACGTATGATCTACATACAAAACTCATACATTTTTTCTCGTCAGGAATATTACTACATATATTATATATATATTACTGTATTTCCCACAAAGTTTTACATTTCGAGATATATTTGAGATATCCCGCCAGAAAAAACTCTCAACCTCCAGTGCCACACCGCTATCAACACCCAGGTGCTCAAAGATCCATGTTTCGATCCGGCGCCCCAACGCATAGGACTGGAGCGGTCGAAGAATGGAGCTGTCGACTGCGCAATTTCCGCATTGCTACGACGTCTCTCAGAAAATGGTCTCCAGAAAAGCCCTCAAGTTTCACATGCAAAAAACCTATGGGTTTCCCTATTCTTCCCTATTCTTCCCATTCTTCCCTGACCATCTTTAGCACAGCCCGTCAGCAGCATCGGCGGCCAGTCCGCCTCATCCATGCCCCGCAAAGTGAGCTGATTCCACAGTGAGTCCAGACGAACTTTGCGTCGGGCCCCTGGGGTCCGAGGGACCCGAATTCCAACATGACGCCATTCTAAGAGGATCTAATGGTGGTTGGTGGTTGAGCCCTACCCCCCTGAAAAAATATGATCAATGGATATCAATGGGAAGGATGACAACCCACATATTTATGGAACATAAAAAATGTTTGAAAGCACCAACTGGGACACAAATAGGACAGAAATTGGATGGTTTTTTGTTGGCATGAATTTTTGGGGGTACTCCTTTTGACAAAGCCACATATTTTTTGGATCTTTTGGTGAGGAATTCTCAACAACCAAGCATTCCATCAACACTGGGAGCAACAGCGCCAAGGAAGGATTTTTCTTCGAACATCCATGTCAATCCCCTAAAAGTGGGAGAACCAATCCCTCAAAACCAGGGTTTTTAGTATTCAATCAGTTCCTTTTGGGCTATTCTGAAGCCAATCCAATGGTTCATAATCATTTGTCTCATGAAAATGGCAACAAATTGGGTATAACTAATTTCTGGGCAAACCATCTTTCAAGATTAGTGTTGGCTTATATCCCATTTATATCCATTTATCGTATACTCATGTATACTCCATCAAATATCCCCTTGAAGTGTGCTTTTTGAACTTACATCTACTATCGAGTATGACCGCCAGAAAACGCTGAGGACTTTACCAGGGCCCCAACCCCGTCCCTGGTGCCTTCTGTGGGATTCAGAATGTGTCGTCGCAGGAGGGTTTCGTTTGGCAAAGTGGAGCGCCAAAAACTCTCGGGCCTTGGGGGTCAAAATGTCACCGTTTTCCGGTGAGTGTTTTTTTAAGAATGGTCCTTCCCTCTGTTCTTTAGAGAAAACTATAGAAAACTCCTGAGATTCAAGTGTCAAATGATCAACTATAGATTTTTCTTCCACCTTTCAGTTTTTGGTTGCTCAACGTCACCCCGTGTTTTCAGATCACCATCTGCTGCGCTGCATCTAGGCGGCTCCAGTGGCTCCAGTGGTGTGCGTGCACCGCCCCGCAGCAGCAGCTGGGTATGGCGCAGCCGCAGGCTGCTGATGCTGCGGCTTGTTGCAGATCGGCTCCTGGATGCGAGTGATACCCCGAAAACGTCGGAGATCATCGGGGTCGTACCCATTGGATACTCAAAAGGTATGAAAACCCATTCAAATTAGCAAAACTTGATCAAAGGTACAGTGAAAACATGGGCTGAACGAACAACTTGTAGAAGTTCTTATAGTATCATGATTGTCAAACTCTTGAGGATTGGTCAAGTCACGTTTTTGTCATAAAAAATATATAGTTGATGCACATGAAAACCAAAGAGTGTGGATTCATATCCGATATTTGCAACTCGGAACTCCAAATGCTGTAAACCTGGATGCATCTAGCATCCTCCAATCCCAAACGAAATGAGTGACAAACAAAAGGCATAACAAGTACTGTAATCACATATTTAAAGGATCCAAGAACTCCAAATCAGTGACACAGAATTCCACATCTCACATATCCTGTCACGCCTTTGGCAAATCTGACGCCGCATTGCCGCATTGCTTGGTGAGCACTCTCTACACGGAAGAAACAGAACTATGTCTGGTTGGGAAGTGGCGTAAACCATGGCTGGGTAAAGATAAACCAATGGCCAAACCATATTTGGATGTAATTGTGGTTTCTGTTTGATGAATTTGCCATAGCCAGCTTAGATTGCTATGACTACAGGACTCAAATTGGTCAAATGAGGCTGTTGAAAAGCAAGTCTCCCGACAGCTTTGCAAAGAGCAGCTCTGAAACTATGACACTATGTGTATGTATCATGCATAATCTATCATAATATCATACAATTGATAATATAATATTGATAACATCATTCTTATATAATTACTTATAATATCATATAATATCACATATAATACTTATATGATCATGTAAGTAATCATCTTCTTACATATATGATATATGTTTGGGGCTCCTTGTGAACCGAACGTTGACGGCTTCCCCCATTGCTGATGCGTTCAAACTGCGGTAACGAAAAGAGGTCACTCACCTCATGCCATGGCTATAGACTCCACACCATCACAACCAAAACATAGATGTGGCTGTTTTCTATGGCTTAGCTGCTTTTTTGATGTTGACTCCAAGCTAAAACTAATGTTTTGATGAGTCTTTCCATATCTTTCCAAGCCCAAACAAGGGGAATAGACCTTTTTTTCCACACCTCAAAAATCCTCAGGGCACCAAAAACATCCAAAAACCCCAACCAAATTGGTCCTTGGGAGGTACATCTTCGTATTTCGTGATGAAATCATGTCATTCCATAGCCGCTCCAAGCTCATCTCCGCACCTGTCTGCGAATCTCACGAGGCGGAGCCTTCGGTTCCAAGAACCTCGGTGGGGAAAACCCCTCAATTTTTCATGGAGGCTTTTCAAGGGAAACATCTCCGTTATGAAGGATTTGTTTCATGGGATTTTCAATGGATTTTCCAGCTTAAGCCATGTTTGACCAGTTGGTGTATCCTTAGGTGTCGATGAATGGGGTATTTCATAGGATGAATGGGGAAGATCCAAGAAGATTTCATGGAGAACAAGGGACAGCTGCATTGACCATGGAGAGGAGAATCTTCGCAGATCTGGCAACCACTGACGTACACAACTTTGGACATAGACGATCACTTGCAAGATCAAACCAAAACGTCAATGACATTAGTTGTAATTATTGTGTCTCAACTCCATAAATCCACAAGAAATGGGTGACATGGCCATAACCATTCTGTCAACCCCACTATTTAAAGATACCAAATGGCTGCCCTGAGCCGATGACCCACGAATGTCGACTTCAGTATTTGGATCCTGGACCAGGAAACTCTAGGTCCCGAAGGGCATCGAAAAAACGCATCTCTATAGTGGTTGATTCAAATATAAGATGCCCTATTCATGCCCTATTCATGCCCTATTCATGCCCTATTCATGCCCTATTCACTTATTTTCTATATCTATATATATAATTATCTATATCTATATAGTGGTTGATTCATATTGATTTCAACCCATCTCCAGGATATTGCAAATATCTTGCAAATGGCTGGGTCAGCAATGATGACATTTTGTTCAGCCAGTCTCTAGTCGGATAAAATCCTGAGATTGGATGAATTTGCGACAGGCAAATCTATGTTAGCCTAAATACCTACTTGAGTTTCTTGCAGTCCCAAATATTGAAGTCCCGGTGCTTCAATGGTGGTTCAGTTCAGCTTTTTGGGAGCTGTAGATTCCCAGTGAGAAATCCCTTGACCCTCACTGTGCCCGTCGTACATGAAAACCTGCAATATATGAGGTACTGATTGCACCTCTTAATCCTCCTATTTTTACTATATGTTTGGTGTTCACATGATCTCTATGGTCATTTGAGGGAACTTCTAATGCATGGGCCTAAGAGGCTCCCTGTTTGCCTTCTTTTTGGCCCATTGCACCATCAAAGGGTCATCGAAGGTCCGCGGTACCTGGGGAATCAGCGGATCAGTCTGGCTGAGAACCTATCTCATAGGGATCTATAAGAACATGGTCAGTATCAGGTGAGTGATATTATAGCTATACCTATATCATCCTATATCTGCTAATCCTTTATATATATATAATTGTATATAATATACACATCTATTTACAGTATCCTATTCAACGATGATTTTCACCCACATAACCTGGCTCTTATCAAAAGGCCGTTGAAGGGATGATTCCCCTAATCCATTCGCCATCACTCCAGTCGCATGAGGTTGTTTTTTATTTATCCAGATGAGTCAATCCCAACCCCCCAAAATGGGGTTCCAGCGTTCCATATAGCATGGCATGGATGCAGATATCCCATAAGAATTCTTGGGTCACGTTGATCTGCCCCCCCAAAGAAAAAGAAAAACGGTTCCATACCGAAGCCAGGACAAATAGTATCGTTCCGATGAGGAAATCTGGAGGAACTCATGGTATTTTTTGGAGTTGAATCCAATATTTTCCTGGCGATTTGATATTGATCCTGGCAATTCTGAACCACCATTCTCAGACACCAAAAATGGATCCAGCTACAAGTAGAAACACCAAGATATGTCCAACAAAAAAATCCAGCACCACCACTAGCGGCCCAAAAAAAAACACCGTCGAACTGCCAGCAAGGTCCATCGGGATCCAGTGCGGTTTTCAGCATTTCTATCGGCTGTGGATCAATCTGGCACCACCAAAACAGGACGAAAATTGGTACAACTCCCTGAAATCTCAGAGAAATAGGGAACACTGACTTAAGGAAATACTTGGAAGAATTTCATAGACATTTCCTAATTTGACTCACAGCCAATCTGAAAGCCACATGCTGGTTGTGGCGCTATGTACATGCGAAAGCACCGCGACATCCTGCCTCAGTCCTCGCTGTCCAACGTTGTGTGTTGGTTTGCAATTCCGCCGCATGTTGGAGAATGAATTGATTACCGATGATTCTGGGAACAAACAAAACGAATCCGAACATCACTTGACTTCCAATGAGCCATGACCATTTTATGTGATTTTAAATGTTCAAAACTTATTGCACAATAATATGTATACATATGTCTACTGTAAATGAAGTTTATATATATATATATGTATAGTAGTAGTTACGTCACATATAATATTGCACAGTCACATATGTCTTATTATTGGAATATACATGTATTGATACATATTCATCATTTCATCATTATATTATCGATATATATATATCGATATCGCAATATGCATAGACGATTACATATTATTGATATAAAATGGTATAAATATTCCATGTGTAATATCCTGTAATCATATATCATATATTAACCCAACCTTCCTTCGCCCTTCGCTCCTCCTCTCCGAAAACCGCAAAGGCCCTTGCCACATGCGCAGGCATCGCTGGCAACTTCCCCGTGCGGCTCGTGGAGCGCTTCCTGCGGCCGATAAGATACGATAAAAAAATAAACACAAAAATCACATATATATTATTATTATTGTTGTTATTATTATTATTACTATTATTATTATTATTACGACCATCATCATTATCTTCATCTTCATCATCATCAACAATTATTGTTACTATCAGTAGTCTATTACCATAATCATCATTGTTGCATTATTGCAGATAATAACTACATGATTACCATCCGGTAAATTAACAGAAATGAACATAGACCCTGGCAAATACGGGTTCGAAGATTCGTGTCCACTAAAAATGGCCTATTTTCAGGGGCGAACTCTTAATTTACCAGAGGGTATAGTGATTCAGAATCTTGAAATGAACCAACTTCAGTATGTACCAACTATCATTAACATTTACTATAGATTTAGTAGCTATATTTATATCAGATGTTATGACAATTTATGACATGTATATGCCATATACCAAACAAAATCTCACCTCGAAGAGGTGGAGGGCGCGCGCCCGGAGCTTGGCTCGGCCGCGGCTTGGGATGTGCGCGAGGGCGTCCTGGATAGACATTGTTTATGTTAAAGAAATAACATAGTGACACCCAAAAACTATCAAAAACTATAGATTCTAGTAGGATGATACTTAGTGTCACTACTTATCTTTGAGTTTTTGTTGTTATCATGACCTGTCACTGTCACTTGAGTAGGATTCTACTTGTCTATCTTTTGGGGGGGTGTTTTAGTTGGAGGGTCTGCATATTTATAAATGATAAAGGTGCTTGCTTACATGAATGAATGTCTGCATATTGTGATAAAGGAAGATAAAGCTGCTTCTTTACATGTGTTTTCAATATCTTGCTTCCAACATATGTTCAAGAACAACAAAACTGCTGAAGCAGGATTCAATCAACAAAATGGGACAGGGGGTTACCCTCAATATACGGCGTTGTTACTTGGGAAAATGATGATAACCTGGTGCCAATGGATGCCAAACATGGCTGGGAGGTTTTTGTGACATCAGCATGGCTGGGACGTGATCAAATAGTAGTTATAAGTGGGGATCGGATCAACTAAGTCGCCGTAGATTTTCAATCATTTTCTGGTTGGTGGTATACCTACCCCTCTGACAAATATGAAAGTCAATTGGGATGATTATTCCCAATACATGGAAAGTCATAATCCAGTCATGTTCCAAACCACCAGGCAGTTTTTAGTCCATTCCCACTTCTAACTTTGAGCCGCATGGTAAGTTGATGTAAGTTGCATGACGTATGCCGCTTATTAACAACCGCTGCACCACTGGAACACGTAGGATCCGTGAAAAAACTCTGATCCTCTGCATCCCCTGGCCCCAGAATGGATGCGTTTTTCACGGTTTTTTAGCACAGCCTTTAACACACCAGTCGACGCTTAATTATGAAAGACCTTATCAAATCAATGAGTGACTGCTACTGACTGCTACTGGAAATGTCACATATATATATATAGATATATATACATTTATGAGGTCCCATGTGATATTTCAGTGTGGGAACTGTGCGAGATGATGGCCCCCAAAAAATTGTTGAGTTGACTTGTAACTAACCCTGCTTTATGGAGGATATGGCTATGTGTAGTATTCATATTCATGGGGTTTATAATCCAACTGACTGGGGGGCTTCACCTGCTTTATCCTCCCAGTCCATTTCTTCCCCACTCCTCACAGGCGACACAGGTGGTGGTGTCGCCACTCGTGAGCCCGGTGTTGGGGTGATGCAAGGAGAGACACTGCGACTTCGCATTTGGGGCAAATGCAAACCTGGCGATCGGGTGATATGTTTCCTAAACCATGCGGCTTGAGGTGCAGTGATAAACTAATGGATGTGGGTTGTATTTCACCATAGTTGTAGGGCTTAGATCCAACTTATGGAGGTTAGACATTCCATAGTTCAGTGATTTCAATGTATATTAGGTTCTGGTGACTTAGGACTTAAGCCACCCTGATGACATAGGAGTTTCGTGTACCAAGTCCTAAGTCATCGCACTTAAGCAACATGTGAGGTTCATCCAAGACATGTTTTTTATATTTTAATCTATCCAAAAATCTAGGGAAGATGGCCAGCGCACGCCTGATGACATAGGACACTCCTCTGTTGTTTTTCTGCTGCTTAGTTTCAAAGTCATTGTGTTTCAGTCACAAAGATGGATGTTCCATTGCCAAGCGAATTCTATGCTGAATTTCAGCTACGGCGCAAACCCAACATTCAGCAGTTGTCTTGTTTGAAAGACTTTGTTCTTGAAATCTTTGAAAACCATGGGTTTACAGGCTCGGCCAGGAGAGCATGAGTCCATGCATCCCCTTTGATGCTGACCTTTGCCCCCCCCGCGATTGCCACATGGTGAATTTCAAGCAGCTTTGTTTCTTGTCTCATATTTAGATATGATTGCATGACTACCAGGAGTGTCCGGGCATCCCCTTTGATGCTGACCTTTGCCCCCCCGGGGGTACTTTTCACAAGTCCTAAGTCACTTGATCCTAATGTAACATATATGGCTTTGCCTGAAAATAGGAAGTGCTCCAAAAATTCATGGTTGATCATCATTTCCCCTATTAAAGCCGCTACTTAGAGGCGTATACCACGGACCTCCACTGAGTCCCCAATGAGTGAGTTTTCAAACAGCATTGGCGAGTCAGCACACAAGCGACCATTCACCAGACATATGAAAACTTGACCGAAAACTTGAGGTCTAACGGTCTGACTCAACATTTGGAGATATCAATCACATTGGAACATGATTCCACCAGAATTCGACGCAACAATACAATCCGTAGCACCTGGTGTCTTCGAGCTGCTTCGAGATGTTGCTTTCTCTTCAACTTCTCTTAGGATGTTGTCCTCTGCGGCAATCCTTTTGGACTCGGTAGCTGGTTTTGACTCTGAAAACCGATCTGAACACCAAGCAGCATGGCAATTTGGGGGATTCCATCTCACAAGGTACGTGAGATAATTTCTGTTGAAGGATTCTCTTTTCGTCTAATAACACTGGGCATAAACATTGTTTGTGACCCAGTTCCAAATGGCCAGCAAATTTTAGCATCAACCACCATGGGCCCATGGGTTGTGTTGGTTAAATCCAAAGCATGTTTGTTTTCCATCCCAAGTGTTACATACCCTATACTTGGATGTGCATAATCCAGCTACCAAATCCAAAATGTTGGTAACATTAAAAAAAACAAACTCGACATATCACAACATTTTTCTGAACATCACCATGGTCACCATGTTTCCTGGTAACATCATCCGTTTTAAAGGTCTAAAATCACCATTTTGTGTTGGGTTTTGACCACATGTTTCCACCGGCATCCAGATGCAAAACCGTGGCAGTGCTCCTTCAGTGCCAGCAAGTCTTCGGGCTGAGAGACTAAGCGCAAGGCAACCTTGGGCAAGAAAAAATGATGGATATACACTTCATAAATGGCTGTATGATGGTTATAGAATGGATATCAATAAGATACGTATATATATATATATTGAAAAATCATTGGTATATATTATGACTATATCATGGACATTATATAATGGATATTAATAGCTAT